TACTCTTTAAGGATCTAGTTATATTTGCCTCGATTCTCCTATTGATATCTCTTACCATAACTTTTTGTTAAAAGTGAGATTTTAATTTTTCGGATATCATATCTCTGTCGCTAAGAATGGTCATGATTTCAAACTATAAATACTAAAATGGTGGTTAATATGTTTTTCTAACTTTGTATTATCTTCCAAAGTTATGATATATATTATTTGGTTATATTCATTTTCAATATTTTATTTGAATTTCTTTTTTCTAACTAATTTTTTATTTGTTAATTAGATTAATTATCTGTTAATAATATTGGTTTCTATATTATTTTAATATTGGGAGTGTCTAATTGGTTTCTCTTCACTTCTATAACATCGGTGGCTTAGTGCAATGGGATATATATATACCTCTTGTTTATATACATAGCTATGGTAGATCTTTTTATTTTACTTTTAGATTGGCTAATTTGGAGCAGAAATCTCTTCTATGTATTTTATTCTCATTAAAGGTATGGTTTCCTGTTGTCCTTCATTCTTGTTTACTAGTGGATTTATGTTTTTTGCTATATGGTGGCTAACCATATTAAAGAAAATCAATACAGTTTTTCTGATATTTCTTTTTAGAAAGTTTGGTTTTAAGGTATTTATATGGGATATTTGAAAAGCTCTCTCCTACTATGTTATATTTCCAAACATTCATCTTTTCTCTCAAGATTTATGTATTGTAAGTCTGTTTCCTGTTTAAATACTTCTGGTTGCTCCGTTATTAGTATATGGGTCTTAGAAATTCTTTTCTCATCCTTGATATATTATTAAGATAAATACGGAATAAAATTTTCTATCTTGGGAATTATTATTTTTTATCTTAGTGGTGGTTAGGACTTTATTGTGCTCAAAGTTATATCCTTATTCTAGCTCTTCATATTCAGTTATTCATTCTTCAATGTGCTACTGTGTTTAGATTAGAAAGGAATCTTTAATACAAATTTTCTGAGCCGAGGATCTAGAATCTAATACTCTAGTTATGCTATTGGACTCTCTTGACTAAACTTTGTGCCTGTAATTGTAGGAGGCCTTGGTTGTCAAACATGATTCAATAATAATATAATATAATAATATAAAGAATAGATAATGTGGAATTTTAGGAAAAAAAGAAGAGTTCTTTGGCGCTTCCTTAATTTGACTTCTAAATACTGCAAAGGTTAAACATCCTCTTATGTTTGCTTTATAACATTTTTCTTTCTCTATTTGGAACAAAGTCTTTGGCAAATGGTAATCAGAACCCCTTATACTTGGTTTGAATTCGGGATAATAGTTTCTTTTGGCAAGATAACTGGTACTTTGAATTGTTCTATTGATTTCTATGGTCTTTTACTATCTAGTATCTCTATAAAAAAGTAAAAAGGTTTTCATTAATATTAACTCTTTTGGATATGTCAATATATTTCTTTTACTGTTTTGGTTCCCTCCTCTTGAGATTGTATACAAAAAAAGACCTTCTTTTCTCTTGTGTAAATTCAGACCCTCATCATATATATATTCAAATAACTTGCTCTTTATTTATATTAATATCTGTTTTTTAAATCCTTGGATTTTATTATATATAATAAGTATATTAATCATTTCTATGTATTTAAATGTTTATTGGTTTACATTCTTTTTTTTTTTTTTTCTACCTCTTTTATTTTCTTTTTGTTTCTTCTATACTTTACTTGGAAATTTATAAATTAGGCTTTTATTCCTGTGTATATCTTTTCTTTGTGAGATTTAGATATATTTTACTATCTTTCCTCTCTTAAGTGTAATTTGTGTTATCATATTTGAGGTTATTAATCATTTTTTTTTTTTTTTTTATTTTTTATTAATGCTTCCTTTATTAGCTTGCTATAGTAGGATTTTGTGTTTGTTATGTATTTTTTCTTATATACCTATTATATATGTGTGGTCATTATGTTTATATCATTCTCTATCTTTTATCCTGTTCAAATTACTTCTTTGTCGTGCCTATATATAGTGGTTACATTTTCCATATATCTTCTATGTGTCTTGGTGATAAGACAATGATGCTAATCATAGAAATATATCTATGAATCTGATTTTTCGTGTATAATTGCTTAGAACAAAGAGGAAAATCATTATACAAGTAACTTTACTTAATCTATAAAACATTTCTGTGGTTTTATATTTGTTGCTAATAAGCTTTATAATCTAAGAATATTTTATGAGATTCTCAAGTTACCTTGTTATATAATTTTGTGTATTGTGTATTAAAACTAAACCTTGTTGTTTTAATAAGTGAACACTTATGGTCTTGTCTGATAAAATTTATGGACTTGGTGTTGGTATTCTGATGTAACATAAGAGGGAGAGATATGGTCTTCTGCCCTATATACGAAAGTTTTCTGTTTTTAGTTGCTGAACTCTTAGCTCTAGTTAATAGCTCTGAAATTGTCGTCTTCTGTTTTTTTAAATGTGAAGTTGTGCCGTTTATCTAGTTTTTATCATACGCCTTTCTAGAACATAGATACATAAGATAGAGATATATATAGATAAACCTTAGTATTTTTAAATAGAATAAAAAAGTATGCTTCTCATCTTGATTAAAATTTCTCTTATATTTGGAGTTTGAGGAAATTGCAGTCTGCAGATTTCTTAAGAATGGTGGCCTGTTGGTTTAATGTATACTCTATTGATCCAAATAATTATACCTTTTGTTTTAACGGTATTATCTCTCTGCGACAAATTCGGAATTAACCTTATTCTCTAGATTTAATTTTTTGGCCTATTTGATGTCTTTTATTCTTTATTATGAGAATATAATGTTTGCCAATTTCCCATTTCGTAATTCCCCTTTCTATTTAGTTTTTTATATAGACAGAGTTTGTTGGATGGTTTAGGCCTTACACTGTCATCGGGCATTTTTGGATTATTAGATTGGATCTATTAATAAATCTGCTATTAGGGCTCATACCTTCTATGGGCTGGACCTTTGCATGACCAGTGTTGATTTGGTTTATCTTGGTTACTTGGGAATTAAAAGGTATTCTTCATATTCTGTAATTGACTATATAATTTCAACTGAGCCTTTTATTATCTATATTTTTTAGTAATTTAACAAATTGTCTCATTATTTTATTTTTATCAGCATTTAAATATCTCTTCTCCTCTTCTTGGAGGATTTTTTTCCTGCTTCCTTTGGTATAAGGTCATGGAAGATGGTTTTTAGGAGCAAAAGTGGTAAAGCTCTTGAGGGAGATTGGCTAGCTGCTAGTGATCAATGAGAAACCTCATTTAATTTGTCTCTCTCTCCTTGATTAAGACTTGAAGCAGCTATTGCGATTCGGATGGCTATTAGGATTAGTTTTTTTTCTCATGTATTTAGTAAGAGACTTAAGGCTACTTATTAGTTTTTCAATTTTACTTCTTGTTTTTTTCTTTTTTATTAAATGTATTTCTTTTATTCTTAGTGGAGCCGAGTCTGTACCTGGGAAGGACGCTGGACTCTCGCGCGCTAAAGAAACTGCGGGACAGCCCCCCGCTGTGTGGGGTTGAACCAAGAAAACCGCGTATTATTATTTCCCTGAAACCCTTTAACGTCTCTTGTTGAATTACTCTCTTTTTTTTCATAATTCCTCTTAACCCATTTATTTATCCCCGCAATATTCTCTCTTAATACCTTAGTAATCCCCGAAAATCCTCTTTTAAACCTCTTAATCTCCTATTACCCTAAACCCCTAAACCCATATTTAAAACCCGAAAACCCTAAATCTCTGATTATTTTACCTTTTTTTTTTCATTTAACCCTTATAACCCTCATACCTCTTGGTTTGTTTTTTTTTGAGACTCTCTTTTTTTTATATGATGGACCCTTATCCCTTTTTTATACGCCTATCTGACCTCTTTTTATTAGACTCCTTTATATACTTCCTTTTGTGTACCCCAGAGACCCTTTATTTTTTATATTCTTCCTTTTTTAGACCCTTTAGGTATACCCTCTTAAACCTCATATACCCTTTTTTATTATTTATTTCATCTAATTACTCCAGTAAATCATATTTACTCCTTATTTTTTTTTTCTTATTCTACGTCCTATACCGTTTATACGCTCTTATTTATACCCTATACCCTTACCTCTATTACCCTTTTTATACCCTTCTTTTTTTTGTTTTATACTTCTACTATATCCTCTATATACTCCGTATGACTTCCTGTATACTCTCTCTTGAAACCCTTATAATCTTCCGTTAAACCTTTATATCCCTTAATTCTCCTAACACTTCCTTTGTAATCTCCTCTGATTACTTCCGTATAACCCTCTTTGTATTTTCTTACCCTTGTTTAACCCCTCTTTTGTTTATCACCCTTTATTTTTACTCCTTATGCCCTTTTTATTTACCCGGTTTTATTTCCCTTATGATCCTCCTATAACCGATGACCCTTTATGACCTCTGATACCCCTTTTTTTTTTTTATACCCATATCGTACCCGTAAATCCCGAAACCTATATCCCTTGTAACCCCTTTTAACCCCTTAAAACGCCCCTTAACATACCCTAATACCCCAGGATCGCCAGACTCCAGACCCCAGACCCCAGATCTCCCAGTTACCTCCAGACCCCATGTTACCCCAGACCCCAGACCCCACGACCCCAGACCCCAGATCTCCTAGACCTCAGACCCCTTATTCTGTTACCCCAGACCCAGAATTTCCCAGACCCTCAGTACCCCAGTACCCCATGTTAACCCTTTTTCAGTGGTCTTTACCCTCTAGACCCTATGTTAATGTTTTCTTTCTCCAGACTCTCTTTCATATTACCCTATTTAGGACCCTAGTTCTATCTTCCTTATTAGTACCATGATTCTCCTATTTGTTATTTCTCCTTTCTTTAGACCCTAAACCTCAACCTTCT